GGGGAGATGGGGGGTGAGAGCTTGGGGTTTGTAGAGGATGTTCGGTGGACATACGTATCTTTCGGGCCAATAATAATCGAATTCTCCTTGACTTGCGACTCATTAAAGTTGGAAATACCGAAACATTTCTTTTTCCTTTCATTCTTTCCTTTTCTACAACTTCTTTTTTGGCGAGTGTTAAAAGGGAGCCAGAGTGTCAGAACGAAGTGCGGTAATACATTACGGGATCTCGGGGTTTGCGTCTTTTTCTTCTCTCTCCTCTTCTTTCGTGGTCCGAGAGTTAATCTCAGATAAATTATGGGTACTTGTTGCTTATTGAAATCGATGTCAGCGATTACTCACTGCAACTGTCCGACTATAACCACTAACCGTGACTTTTAAACGAACTGCTTCGATGATTATTCAAAGTGTTAAACATCTTTATAAACTATCACTATACAAATGATCATATTCATTCAGAAAGTCTGGAATTATCCACTAATTCATTTTAACTTGAGATTTTCTTGAAATTATAAAAATTGTTAACTTTTATACTCATAATATATTAATGTGTATCATGTTTATTCAACAAATTGACACAATTCAAGTTTTATACGGAAAATAATTATTCACATTTCTTTCTTTAGAAATTATCACTTTTTAGATGATCATATTCATTCAGAAAATCTGAAACTATCCTCTAATTGGTCTTAACTTAACGATTTTTTTATAATTATAAAGAGTGTTAACTTTTATACTCTTAATATATTAGTGTGTATCATGTTTATTTAACAATTGACACCTTTCAAGTTTTATACGGAAAATAATGATTCACATTTCTTTCTTTAGAAATTATCACTTTTTAGATGATCATATTCATTCAGAAAAGTCTGAACTATCCTCTAATTCGTCTTAACTTAACGATTTTTTTTTATAATTATAAAGAGTGTTAAGTTTTATACTCTAATATATTAGTGTGTATCATGTTTATTTAACAATTGACACCTTTCAAGTTTTATAGGAAAATAATGATTCACATTTCTTTCTTTAGAAATTA